ACACACACACACACACACACACACACACACACACACACACACACACACACACACACACGCACAAATACACACACACACAAATACCACACACACAATCACACACACACACACACACACACACACAAACACACACACACACACACACACACACACACACACACACACACACACATCAGAGACAGAAAAGAGGCACTAAACTATAGACCTGTGTCACTGACGTGTATAGTGTGCAAAGTTATGGAGAAGATTATCAGGAGAGTGGTGGAGCACCTGGAACGGAACAAGAGTATAATCGCCAACCAGCATGGATTCATGGAAGGAAAATCCTGTGTCACAAACCTTCTGGAGTTTTATGATAAAGTAACAGAAGTAAGACACGAGAGAGAGGGGTGGGTTGATTGCATCTTCTTGGACTGCAAGAAGGCCTTTGACACAGTTCCTCACAAGAGATTAGTGCAGAAGCTAGAGGATCAGGCTCATATAACAGGAACGGCACTGCAATGGATCAGAGAATACCTGATAGGGAGGCAACAACGAGTCATGATACGTAATGATGTATCACAGTGGGTACCTGTGACGAGCGGGGTCCCACAGGGGTCGGTCCTAGGACCAGTGCTATTTTTGGTATATGTGAACGACATGATGACATGATGGAAGGGTTAGACTCAGAAGTGTCCCTGTTCGCAGACGATGTGAAGTTAATGAGGAAAATTAAATCAGATGAGGATCGGGCAGGACTTCGAAGAGACCTGGACAGACTGGACACCTGGTCCAGCAACTGGCTTCTCGAATTTAATCCCGCCAAATGCAAAGTCATGAAGATAGGGAAGGGCACAGAAGACCGCAGACAGAGTATAGGCTAGGTGGCCAAAGACTGCAAACCTCGCTCAAGGAGAAAGATCTTGGAGTGAGTATAACACCGAGCATGTCTCCGGAAGCACACATCAACCATGTAACTGCTGCAGCATATGGGTGCCTGGCAAACCTGAGAACAGCGTTCCGATACCTTAATAAGGAATCGTTCAAGACACTATACACCGTTTACGTCAGGCCCATACTGGAGTATGCAGCACCTGTTTGGAACCCGCACTTGATAAAGCACGTCAAGAAACTAGAGAAAGTGCAAAGGTTTGCGACAAGGTTAGTTCCAGAGCTAAGGGGAATGTCTTATGAGAAAGGTTAAGGGAAATCGGCCTGAGAACACTAGAGGACAGGAGGGCCAGGGGAGACATGATAATGACATATAAAATACTGCGCGGAATAGACAAGGTGGACAAAGACAGGATGTTCCAGGGAGGGGACACAGAAACAAGAGGTCACATTTGGAAGCTGAAGACACAAATGAGTCAGAGAGATATTAGGAAGTATTTCTTCAGTCATGTTGTAAGGCAGTGGAATAGCCTAGAAAATGACGTAGTGGAGGCAGAAACCATACATAGTTTTAATACGAGGTATGATAAAGCTCATGGAGCGAGGAGAGAGAGAGGACCCAGTAGCAACCGGTGAAGAGGCGGGGCCAGGAGCTAAGACTCGACCCATGCAACCACAAATAGGTGAGTACATCAGGACGTATGTTAGAAGAGACGGCAGAGACACTATGCAGGCCAGTAACCTGCATTAGGATGTATGTTAGAAGAGACAGCAGAGACACTATGCAGGCCAGTAACCTGCATTAGGATGTATGTTAGAAGAGACGGCAGAGACACTATGCAGGCCAGTAACCTGCATCATGACATATGTTAGAAGAAACGGCAGAGACACTATGCAGGCCAGTAACCTGCATCATGACATATGTTAGAAGAAACGGTAGAGGCACTATGCAGGCCAGTAACCTGCATCATGACATATGTTAGAAGAAACGGTAGAGACACTATGCAGGCCAGTAACCTGCATTAGGATGTATGTTAGAAGAGACAGCAGAGACACTATGCAGGCCAGTAACCTGCATCATGACATATGTTAGAAGAAACGGTAGAGACACTATGCAGGCCAGTAACCTGCATCATGACATATGTTAGAAGAAACGGTAGAGACACTATGCAGGCCAGTAACCTGCATCATGACATATGTTAGAAGAGACGGCAGAGACACTATGCAGGCCAGTAACCTGCATTAGGATGTATGTTAGAAGAGACGGTAGAGACACTATGCAGGCCAGTAACCTGCATCATGACATATGTTAGAAGAGACGGCAGAGACATTATGCAGGCCAGTAACCTGCATTAGGATGTATGTTAGAAGAGACGGTAGAGACACTATGCAGGCCAGTAACCTGCATCATGACAAAGTTAAAGAGACGGCAGAACATAACGGCCAGTAACGATCATGGACATAGTAGAAGAACGTAGAACACTGCAGCAAAAACATTGATTCATGACATATTGTATAAATAGAACGGTAGAAGACACTATGCAGCCAGTACCCTGCTCAGATGTAGAGAAACGGTAGAAATGTCAGCCAGTACCTGCTCATGACATGTAGAGAGACGCGGCTACTATTGAGGTACAGTAACCGCATCTACAACGTAACCTGTACAGTAACAACCTCCCAGAAACAAGATAAATAAAAATTTCAAAAACAGTGTTCAGAAGCAATATGAGCTAAAATAAACAGACTAACACCATGACTGTATACCTGCATGAGGTAACCAGGTATTTAATACTCAGTGAGGAAGCGTATCACTTACCACATCAGTGAGAAACGTATATACATACCTCATGAGCGAGCGGTATTTATCTGCAGGTGAGAAGACGGTAATTCATCCTGCAGTGATGACAGACGGTATTACATAGCCGTCCAGTGAAAAGGTATTACTACCTCCAGTGAGGAAGACGGACACAACCTGCAGTAGAAAGACGTATATACCCTGCCAGTGAGGAACGTAATTACTTGTGCCAGGTGTAGAAGAAGCACGGTATTAGGTTACTAAACGTAACGTAACCGTAATTCCGTTCTTCCCTAGACAAGACTATTAGGTTTAACTACGGTTCAGAGTGGAAAATCCTACTGTTACACCTGTTGTTTAGATGAGGTTACCAGTTCACATTGAACTTCACGTCACTCTGTCAAAATAAGATCTGACGCTGGTTTTTTCGAAGAAATGGAATTGATGCGTGATTGACAGGTTTAAGCGTCACTAAATGGTTTTACTTCCATTAAAACACCTGTCGTAGCAGTTGTTTGTTGGACACGAATCTTTGTGCTTTTGTTAACAAAAAAACACCTGTCTTTGTTACTTTGTTCAGTAACCGGTTTTGTGCTATTGTTGAATTTTCTGTTTTAGTCCTCTGTTCAACACCTGTTTTTTTGTGACATTGTTGTTCACTTGCCTTTGCATCTTTGTTAAACACCTGGCTTGGCACCTTCGTTAAACAACTGTATTTGTGCCTTAATGAAACATCTGTATTCAGGCCTTTGTTAAACACCTGTCGTTGTATCTTTATTAAATGCTTGTTTTTGTACCTTTAGTAAACACCTGTCTTTTTACCTTCGTTAGACGTCTTTGTGCTTCTTTAAACACCTGTCTTACAACATTTGTTTAACATTTGTCATTGTTCCTCTATTAAATACCTGTCCTTCACCTATCTCTGAACCTCATTTAAGCATATGATTTTGCTCATTTGTTAAACACCTGTCTTTGTTCACTTGTGAAACACCTGTCTTTGTTCACTTGTTAAACATCTTTGTCCATTTTTAAACATTCATTTTTGTTTATTTGTTAAATACCTGCCTTTGTTCTTAAACTTATCTTGTTCATGCTGTAAATTCCTCTCAGTATCTTGTATATCGTAATCATGTCACCTCTTGTCATTCTGTCTTCTAGTGTCGTCAGTTTTAGCTCCTTTAACCTCTCTTTATAGTTCTTACCCCTCAGCTGTAGGACTAGTCTTGTTGTAAACCTCTGTATTTTTTTTAGCTTCTTCACATGTTTTACAAGGTGTGGGTTCTATATTGGCGCTGCTTACTCCAAGATGTGCCTGATACATAGTGTGTGTGTAGGGTCGTAAATGCATCCTTGTTCATGCCCTTGAAAGCTGCCCATAAATCTGCCATTCTCACGCTTGCTGCAGTCGATATTTCATACCAGGTTGATGTGTGCCTCAGACGATTATTATGGTTATCATAACTAAGGATTGTGCAGCGAAAATCCTTCCACCCTGTACTCCGTTTCTAGTTATCTTTGACCTTCCCTGATTTTCATAACTTAGCATTTGTTTCCTAGGGATAAATTCTAATAGCCACTTGTCAGATCAGTCCTGCAGTGCGTCCAGATCCATGTGTAGTCTCTTCTGGTCTATTTCTGCTTGTATTCGCCTCGTTAGTTTTGCGTCATCTGCGAAATGTGACAACTCTGTCTTGTTTTTCCTCTGTTATGTCATCCACACGTACAAGAAACAGTACTGATCCAAATACTGACCATTGTGAGAGTGTGGTTGACAGGGAGATGTGACAGTGTGGTTGACAGGGAGGTGTGACCGTTAATGTGTAGTTGACAGGGAGAGGGTCAAAGTCATTGTTGTATCTGGCAGAAATGTGTGACAGAAATGACAGACCATCACTGGGCAATGTACCTGGAACTGGAGGGAAAGTGGTGGATTACGGATGGGAGGGAGAGAGAGAGAGAGAGAGAGAGAGAGAGAGAGAGAGAGAGAGAGAGAGAGAGAGAGAGAGAGAGAGAGAGGCGTTGTGTGGAATGGAGGGTTTAGGGCTATAGAAAGAAAATAAGAAGAGAGGTAGGTGTACACCGGGATGGAGGATTCTGAATAAAATGGGTGGATGGTTGCAGGAGTGAAAGCATAGAGTGAGGAACTGTGTGGGAAGGAAGAGAAAGGGAGAGAGAAGGGGGGAGCTAGGGAGTGAGGGAGGGAGCATAGACTAAGTAGGAGAAAGTTAGCTAGGAACAGAGCACCTGTTCCTCTGACTTTTTTTTTTTTGTTTTGTTTTTTTTTTGCTTTGTTTCACAACACATGGTGTCGAAAGGTCAGTAAAAACAATGTGAATCTAAAACTAAACGTTTATTTAAGATACATGCAATAACAGTGAACTGTGTCCATAGTTGTGTCATGGTGTGGCGCATGACACAACCAGGGAGAGAGCTGCTTGTGTGGAGGAACTTCAGTAACAAGAGGTGTAGCAGAGGAGCAGGCCGGGCTCAGAGGCCAACCTCTAAAGGTCATACTTCGAGGTCAAGCTCTGAGTTCAACCTTTATAGGTCGAGCTCTGAGATCAAGCTCTGAGGCCAGCCTCTGAGGTCAGCCTCTAAAGGTCAAGCTCTGAGGCCAATATCTAAGATCGACCTCAAAGGTCAACCTTCGAGGATAATCTCTGAGGTCAACCACTAGGTGAACCTCTTAGGTTAAATCTCTGAGTCAACCTCTGACGCCAACCTTAGAGATCAACCTCTGGGGTCAACCTCTGGGGTCAGTCTCTGGGGCCAACCTCTTAGATACACCACTGAGATCAACCTCTTAAGTTAATCCCTGGGCTTATTTCTCGAAGGTGATGCCTTGGGCTCGCTGTTCCTCTGCGATGCGGATCTGCTCTATGGCGTGGGGCGGAAGTGGGTGGGCCTTGGGCAACAGATCAGACTCTGGTCTGTAGCCATTCTCGTCAGCAACGTAGACGATGTAAGCGGGCGTGCCGTCAGGGAAAGTGAATCTGTAAGGAGACACCAAACATTCAGGCGGGGTTGAGACTTCCAAGACGACTGGGACAAAAAAAAAAATCAGGACTAGGTCTTGCGCTTCCCTTCGCAGGATGGATATGCACTAACGCTACCGTCCACTGGGTGGATATGCTCTTACGTTACCGTTCACAGGATGGATATGGTCCTACGCTACTGTCCACTTAACAAACATTCTCTAGCACTCCCTTCCACAAGATGGATATTCTCTTATCCCAATGTCAACAGGACAATAAACCAGCTATTTCGATGGCAAAATAAAACATGTCTTAGATGTTTGGGTTTACAATATCTGTGACATTTGAATTTATAGCATCTAAGAATTTTGTGTTTATGCAAAATGAGTTTATTATAACATGAAATATATATACATCGGGAGGGACTTATGCGGTATAATAAAATGAAGAGAGAAAAAAGATAGAGACGCGGAGGTACGGAAGATGGGAAGGAAGAGAATGAGAGGTAAGAAGTGATGAAGGTATCTATTGAATCGACTCTACCCTTTAACCTTTTGTTTACTAATGCATAGTCTATCAAGCTGTTCTTATTGCGCCTTATATCATACATCGTATTATTATCTAGCCCCTTATTTTACATTTATGTTTAAGAAAGTTTGATATCTTAACTATCGAGCTGTTTCTTATTATTAAGGAGGGAAGACAGCATTGAAGGTATTTTCGACACATTGAAACAATGTGCAGTTATCTCCAATATGCTGGAGAAGTTGGTTTAAGTATTCACAATGTTCGATCCAAAGAAAGACCTTTGATGTTAGGGTAATAAGAGATGGTATACAATATAAAGCTACCGAAACGGGTCAGAGAATAAACAGCATAACAGGATTTCACTGAGCAGTGTCAAGGAGAGATAGTGTACAGCGTAACATACTGTGGCACTGAGGTGTGTCCGTTCCTCACCTGATGGAGCCTTGCATGTTGCTCTGGCCCTCAGAGCCAGGGGTGCCAACTCGCTCCTCGTTGATCCCGTTGGAGGTTTCGAACTTAAAGTTGAAGTTGCCGTCGCCGTTGTCGTGGCGCTCGTCGACCAGGGTTACAGCGTCCTTGTCGGGGCGAGGGGCGGCGGCGACCACAGCGACCAAAAGGGCAAGCAAGAACTGCAACCGAGTAAGGAACTTCAGGTTAATTAATTTTGTGGCAGATTTATGGATTCATCCACTTCTTAGTGAACTGGGTGGCTAATTAGCTGAGAGATTCAGTTACTCAATTCTTACGTAGCTGATTAGCTAAGCGACTAGCTTATTCATTCACACCTTAACTGGTCGCTTGCCAGGCTACTTAACTAATTTGCTGAGTCAGTCATCAGATCAGTTACACGACAATGGTTTATCGCCAGTTAGTTCATTAAGGCAAAACATGCATAAGTGAACAAGTTGAGAAGAAACATTTCCAGAAGCACAGAGTCATGACGATCCAGTGACCCAGTGAACCGCAACAATCCCACCCATCTTTCAGGCTCCTCCACTTTCTGTAACTCCTCTTCTTAATCTTCCAAACGCACTGTCTTTGGTAAATATACTAAGTTTTATCAAACCTCAGTATACATTTATAGAACAGAATATATAGTAAATAAATTTATAAATACTCAAACGTTGTAAATACGCCCATTCACATAAAGAGATTCAGAACCTTTAAACCATCACCTCTCCCTAAGACTTTTATTCACGTGTTTGTAACTGAATATCTCGGTATATTTACATTGAAAGGTGTGTATCTCTTGGAAAATACATATATATACACACAGAGAGGTGTGTATATCTCAGTGTATATACATCGAGAGTTGTCTATGTCTCAGTGTAT